GACCAGCTTTGTTGGTGGCACAGTGGCAAGAGGGTGATGGGCTGCTCCCGTTGCAGATGTGAAATTCCTGAACAACCACAGCCTGGTAAAGGATGCCCAGGAGAAGGCCAACGCTGCCCTGCTGGACTACACCTTGTGTCACTACCCACACTGCGGGGACAAATTCCAGCAATTGCTATTGTGCCTGGTGGAGGTGCGGGCACTGAGCATGCAGGCCAAGGAGTACCTGTACCATAAGCATCTGGGCAACGAGATGCCCCGCAACAACCTTCTCATTGAGATGCTGCAGGCCAAGCAGACTTGAGCCTGGGTGCCAGGCAGCCGGCAGTAGGCAGGGATGCCACTGCCTCCAAAAGACTCCTTGTGTTAGGTGATCCAGGAGCCCTGTCCCTAAGCCCCTGCCCCTGAGCTCCAGAGCTGTGTGTTTGGGATGATGGGCGGGGACTGGCCGGGGCAGGTTGCCTTCATTAGCCACTGGCATGTGTCTGCCACTTGGAGTGCCCCAAAGGGGTGGCTTCAAACCACTCCTTCCTCCATCTGCCCCCAGCTTTTTTTCCTGGTATCTGAGGCCCCAAGAGGAGGCTCAGGATTCCCTGGTGAGCCTGGATGTCCCTTGGGTCAGAGGTCATCCTTTACCTCTCTCCTGTAATCAGACGCAGAGGAAGGTCTGCAGGCATCAATGAGGGCAGAGGAGGGGGTCTCCAGACTCCCCTGAAGCAGGGAAGGAAGTCCACTGTTGTAAACTGAGTTTGCTAAATTGGGTCCCTAGAGGACATCATGGGACTGGGTAGGGAAAAAAGACCCCTCCAGCCCTCCACCCATCTAATTCTGATCCATTACCTGTAAAAGGACTTTATTGTGATCATCCTTCTCCTGGGTCCCAGGTACCCAGGGAGGAGGAGTCTGGTGTATTCAACATTCCTGCCCTAGCCCTGCCCAGCACCAGCTGGCTGGGCTGGGTCTTATCTGCAAGGTTGCAGAGATTCTTTTCCTTTCACCTAGACAGTTCTTAGAAAGCGTGTGAGAGAAAAACGGGCAAGAGACAGACTGAGGACTGAGCTGGGTTATGGGGATTAACACCAAAGCTTTTTTTCCTGACGTCTCCTTCCAAGAGTCAGGGTGGCATCTGGTCATCTTTATGTACCCCACTTCCCTGCTGAGAAAAACTGTTGCTTGCCTCTGTCCCAGCCCCACTAGGGGAGCAGGAGTCCTTACAGGTGGGGAAATGAACCTAGGAGAACTCACAGATCGTTATATGAGGATAGTGCTGAGGACTTTCTCATGGCTCCATCCTCTGGGTCCCTTGCCACAACCCTTGAAGCTGGCCTCAGTTCCCTGGCTACTGCTTTGCCTCCTGAAAGTTACTCTGCAGAGCCAAACACTGGAGGGAAAGGCCTAAGCTATCCTCTGTTTCAGACAGGGCATCCACTGTCTTTCCTGCTTTCATGTCAGATTTACAGCTTATGCTAGGCCTACCCAACTGGACAAGGCTGTCTCCTGTCTTCTATCATACCCCACCTCTGCCCCTGAAATGCGTGCTCCCGCCGAGGCCAGAGACCCACAGCCCCAAGACAAGAAGTGCCCTTATAAACCCCTGCAGCCCTGCAGCCCTGAAATAAATTTTGCAATTAGTTTCCAGTAGCATTTGTGAATTTGCATTCTGAAGCAAGATGTAGTCCCTGGGGTAGGTTCTGGGTGGTGGTGATGGTCTGCCTGTCACCAACATGGTGTTCAGCTCAAACCTCTGGGAAGGGCCGCTACTGAAATGGCTCAGCAGGTAAAGGTGCTTGCAGGTCTGATGACCTGAACCCACATGGTGAAGGAGAGAACTGACTCTCATAAGTTGTCCTCTGACCTATGTGCAATGCACACACACACACACACACACACACACACTCACTTAGAACCTGCACAAGACTAAGCCACTCAACATTCCAGCATGGGTAGGGGAGGAACTCACATATCCCCTACTCCTGGCTAAGGAGCTTTTGGCTGTCAATGGCTTCTGGGGGTGAGAGAGTCAGATTTCTTCAGAGATGTGACCCTAACCCATGCTTCAGTGTCCCACTGGAAGGCCCTGCGCCTATGTACATACAGGGATCACTAAGTGGATTCAGCAGACTATGAAAATTAATTAAGGAAGTTGGGAGGGGAAGGTGGAGAAAGTCCTGGGAACTGGGTAGTGGGAGACGGATATGATCTAACTATGGTGTATATCTGTGTGTCTACATACATACCATATGCATTGAAGGTATTTTTAAAAATGAAGTGGGAGACGGTTGGAGAGCCCAGGGTGTAGAGACAGCAGGCCCCACCCCAAGCCTGGGACTCAAGTATACCGCCTGGCCTGGGCGAAGCTATGACTTTCTGGGGTCTCACCTTAGCTCCACCGGTCATGCCGGTTCTGCACCATACTGAAAGTGCATTCATTTCATGAGCACACTCCCTCTGCTCCCTGCCCTTGCAGCGACTCCAGCAGGGGTGCCTTTCAGTGTGGGGACCCAGATTCTACCCAAGCTTTCCCGTTCCACCTGCCCTCAGTCCCCACCCTTGCTAGGTGGCAGCACTGAGCTTGACCAACACCTGAGTCCCAGCCCCTCCGGTCCTGTTGGATCTGTTCTTCCCAGGCCATCTTTGTAGGTTCTCCACATTCACGCAGCTGAGGACGTGCTCAGCCACTGTCCCACCCACTTTAACCAATATGATTAACCTAGGGCCACACTTGGTCCACCCAGGGTCTCGGAAACAACTAGAAAAAGGTACCTCCTTTAGACGGAGGTGGCAGAAAAAGATGCTCCTCTCCTGCTCTGCGCCTGTCCAGGCCAATGTCCAGGCTTAATAAAAACTGTCTTAATTAACCAGATGACATGATGTGATCCCTTATGTAATTGAACCACAAATAAGAAAGTCGCTGATTCAGCTCACAGGAAAAGGCTTCACAGCTGAGGGGTCATCCAGATTGAGTTTTTAAGGATGCCTAGGAATTCACCAGCCTAACAGAAACAAAGACAGTCCAGAAAGAACTGTGTGATGATAAAAAGAAAGAGGGTGGTGCCAGCTGACTGTGTTCGGCTGGAGCATAGAGGATGTGGGAGGAAGAAGAGATATGTAGGATGGAAAGGCCTGGAAAGAGCCCCTTAGTCCTGTCCCCTGATCCCCAAACCTTTATGATTGGGACAGGGGCCTTCTGCAAGGCAAGGGATTCAGAGCGCATGGAAATGGAGCTAGTTATGTGCCACCAAGGACCTGGTCTCTTCTGCCTCCTTGCATGTCCCCTGAGCCCCTAGCCACAGGCAGTGGGTTCCGCCAGGGCTGAGCATGTATTCTGCTGATACTTAGCAAATCCCACCTGCTCCAGAGGGAATGGCCAACTGGTCCAGCCTTTCATCCTCTCTGCAATCTGCCTGCCTTCCTGGTGAAAGGCAGGAGCTCTGCTGTCTTCTCTCTTGTGAATCTCTGGCCTCCCCACCCAGAGCCTTTAATGCCTTGAACACAGCTTCCTCTTACATCTCTATCACAGCTGACCTTCTCTGCATACCTACTGGGTGCAGAGTGGTTGCCATGCCCCAAATTAGCATAGGACTGTATCATAAGGTCTTCGGAGAGAGAGAGCCTGTTATCCTTCATTCTGCAAACGACAGACAGGGAGGGCTTCAAGTTCTTCCACATCCTAGGTCCCAGGAAATAAATATCTGGAGACATGGACTTGCATAGGTGACCCAATGTTCTCCAGAAATTGTGTCCCAGTTGCAACCCACATAGAGTTTGGGGAGGAAGCCACCAAAGCTCGGGGACACTCTGTGCCTCACTGGCTCGCGGGGGCTTCTCACTCACCTTGCCCTCTCTCGTCTCATCCCATGCACACTCTGGCCCAGCTCTGTAGCCTCAAGGGAAGGCAGGCTGGATGGTGTTGGGGATCCAACTGATGGCTGCACAGTGAGAGGGTGCCCTGGCCTGCTTTCAGTTGACTTCCATGCAGGCTCCTCCTCGCTCCCGAGTGAATCCTGGTTACCTGTGTGCAGTGGTGCCTGGCACCTCCAGAAAACGGTGCCTAGGTGTTTTGGGTCCACACCCATTGCCTGTGCGCTTAGGCTACCAGCAGGGAAGCCTCAGGCCTGTGTCTGCACAGTGAGGATGGAGTCAATCTCCAGGCACAAGGGGGAACTACACCCTCAGGCCAGGGACACTGCACATGCTGAATGGGCTGACTGCTGGGCAGAAGAGATGACTCAGGAACTAAAAGCACTTGCCACAAACCCTGGTGACTTGAACTTTACGCCCAGAGCCTACGTGGTGAAAGGTAAGAACTGAGTCATGTAAGCTGTTCCCTGACCTCCACACACACATCGTGGCACACACACACAAGATAAATAAATGGTTTTTTGTTTTGCTTTGTTTTGTTTTTAAGTGCTAACTAGAACTAGCAAGCCTAGTGGCAAGGCAGAATCCCAAAGTCAAACTGGCAGCTTCTCTGCTCCCCTTCCTCCCAGACAGCCGCAAGTCCCCCCCCTTGCGGGGGGGTGGGTGGGTGGGGTGGGAGTGGGGGTGGGCAGCACAAGCAGAAAGCTTCAACACCTGGTTTATTATCAGACACTGACACTGACACATCTCGGAAGTGGAAGGAACCAAGGCAAACAGAAGAACTAGCCGGGCTGATCCAGAGCTGCTTTTCTCTCACTTGGGACTGCCAGCTGTACATTTCAGTCTGGGGTTCTAATGATGAACTGAGGTCCTCTAGCCATTGAGCTCCTGAAAGGCTGGGAGGAAAACCCTGTACATGCCTTTTAGACTCCTATAAGGAAAGTTCAAGGGCTCTCTTTGGGCATGGCTGGCAGGAATGGCCAAGATTAGACAGGGTTTGGGAACAGAGTCTTTGGGGAAACCCTGCCACCCAAGCTTGCCCCCGTGGTCTCCCTGAGACGGTTTCTACAGTCAGAACACCTGCATGCACCTACTGTCCCCAGAGCTTTCGGAAAGGACGCATGGCCGGCAGCCACCCCTCACTGGGACCTTTGCCCAGGTGGCTTAAGTGCGTGGTTGGGAGGAGCTGGGGGCAAGAAGCAAGGATCTTCGAACCAGGGTAGGGGTCGGGAAGGTGGGGCCGAAGTGGAAGCGGCTTCGTTGCTACGAGCAGCCCTAGCAACGCACCCATTCAGCAGAGACAAAGGCACAGAGGCGCTGCAGTGGCTCTTGTTCTCGCAGACGGCTGTGCCTGCGGGTGGGGGCGGGGTGGAGGGGGGCTAGGCCCGTCCGGTGAGGGGGGGCTGCGCGCTCTGATCTGCACCCCTGATCTGTCTGCAGGGGGCGCTCCTGTCCCTTTTAGCAGACCGGAAGCTGAACATTCAAGGCTGCCACAAACCTCGGTGAGTGGATCCCACCCCTAGACTATTGCCATGCCTCAGTCGTCCCATCTGTGCAGGTGAGCCTGGTTCCTGCTTGCCACTGGCTGCCTAGTCGCGGCTCCTTTGGATGCCAATGCCTTGGCCGCCTCCTCTGCACACTTCGAAGAAAGCTGCCTCCCCTGACTACTGGACCAGAGTCAGCACCGGCCTGGGGTTGGGCACTGAGCCTAGCTCCAGCAAGAGTTCCAAAAGCAGCCAGCCATAGTATATGACAGAGAGGAAGGCAGTGCCCATGGTGGCAAGCTTGGGTGGCAGGGTTTCCCCAAAGTCTCTGTTCCCAAACCATAGGTATAGTTTGGGGCTAGGTAGTGTTGGTCTAAGATTGATTCTTTTGTAGTTGAGTCTCAAATCACGTTCACCCTGGAGCAGTGTGGGAGAGGAGGGATGGGGGAGTTTGCGCAGAAAGAGAAGTACCTGAAGTCCTAAATGCTGTCAGCTCCACAGCCTGAAAAAGAGAACGGGAAAGATAGGCCCTTTCTCTTGTCCCCTGTACTCTGGGAGCTCTTGGCCCTACCCAAGAGGCCTTGGCTTTTAGGTCTGCCAGCCTACAGGTTCTAGCTTCCCAGTGCTGGGGACAAGGTCCCTGAGGTCAGTGCACACCAACCCTGTCCTAGCCTTTGCTGTGCCTCCAACCCTGCCATTACACTAGCTGGTCCCTTGTTCCAGCCTTACCGGTCTCCTGGGTTCTGTAATGGAAGAGAAGGCTGTGGGGATCCTGGGTCCATGGATGCCTAAAAGGGGGAAATATTTGATGTATTTTGCACAGGCACTATCAGACACCCTAAAAATCTGCTCAAAACTTTACTCTCAGATTAGTGGTGAGCAACCAGAGGCCCAAGTACTTAAACCCAGCTTCTCTCCTGTCAGGGGCTCAGGTGCACTTCCCCACCTACTCCCCACTGCTGGTTGGACATTCAACTGTTCTCCAAGGCCTCAGTTTCTTTGTCTTTCTAGTAGGCTTATAGAGTCTGCCATTGTTCTCCTAGCTCTGGTTGACTGATGGAGAAATCAAGGCAGCAGAGCACAATAGGCAGGGAGATAGCTCTAAGAGCAACAGATTCCAGGCTTGCGGTTCTCCTGGGCCATGCCCCAGGGAGATGAGCCTGTAGGTCAGAAGGGCCAGAGAGTGTCTGAAAGGAGAGGTATCGTGCTTGGCCCTGCCCATGTGGCCCCGGCCCCTCACCCTTGGCCCGGTGCACCTGCTCTGCTCTGAGCACCTCCACTGCCTTCCTCTCTGTCATCCTCCGTAGCGCGTTCTGCACCTGCAGGGTAGCCCAGGTCAGACCTTGACCCTCCCTGGAGCCCTACAGGTGGGTCCAACCTTGAATCTGTGGGAAGCAGGGATAGGACCACAGTCCACCCTCCCTTGATTTTTTCTCACAGTCCGCTCACTATACTCACCTCTCCGTTGTAAGCAGCGTAGACAAGGAAGATGTATGGGCCCTGCGGACAGACCTCATATCACTAGGAAGGAATACCCACCTGCTCTGTGGCCTGGCCTCTCACTTTACTTGGATCAAGAGCCCAGGACCACAGTAGATACACTGAGGGACATTGAGAGGCAGGAAGGACTCAAAGCCTGCCCTGCCCTCCTTCTAACCCTTTACTCTGCAGTCCAGAGACTGAACACAAAGCGCTCAGCATTCAGGGCTAGGGCCACGCTGACTCCTCTCCACAGTTGTAGGGACCAGCAGGGCCTTGGCACTTACAATGTACCACTATATTTGGGTCTCATATAGCCCTATACGGTAGACAGAGAGCCCCAAGATAGTGTTGTCCAGTGGGTCAGACTTGAACTGAGCCTAGAACTAGAGCCTGAACTTACTCAGACACCATGTGACAGCATAAAAGGGCTACCTGCTCAAGCCTGAGGCCAGAAGCAGAGGGCATTGGACTCCTAGGTCTTCCAGCCTTTGGGCCTCTGGTTCCCAGGCATAACGGGTTGATATCACCATTCTTTAGCTCCTAAGACAGATCACTAAACCCAGAGCCAGCCTGTTCCTTCTGCACCTCTGCATTGCCTTCTTATTCTACACCAGCAAACAAAGGCATCTTTCTGGACTCTACCACCCATGCTTGACATCATCCATGGCTCACACTCCCTACAATAAAACTGGAGTTCCTTATAGCAACTCTGGAGTCAGAACAGTCTGATCCCATGTCCCCTCTAGCCCTCCTCATGTTGCCCATTCCCCTGGGTCCTACAGTAACCCCCCCTCTATATATAGTTTTCACACCTTACCTGAGAATCAGTCCTTCCACATAAGAATTCCCTCTAGTCCCATACTGCCTTGGCTGTCCTTTTCCCTCACAGCTTCTGTGGTACCACACTATGGATAGGTAGTACAAGATGGGCACTTTGGTCCCATGCCCTATGTTCTTTGGGATGTGAACAAGCAACTGACCTGGGGGTGGGGAGGACCTGTAGTATGAATGAATGAATGAATGAATGAATGAATGAATGAACAAAGGAGTCCCCATTCACAAAGCTTTGGTGTGTATCAGGTATTGTGTTCAGCCCTTTGTAAAGGTTATCTCAGTTGGATCACCGGAAGATTCCTTGAGGTGCAGAGGACTTCAACCCCCATTAGACGGGTCCACCAAGGTTGATGTGAGCTACAGCTGGCTACAAAAGAGAGGCATTGCTTTCCTTCCACAAAACCAGACATAGTGCGGGTCAGAAGAAAACAAAACCATCCTGAATAAAAAACGAGGCTAGATCCAGTCTAGTCTCTCTGGACCTTGTCACTGTCCTGGGGTGTATCCTGCCTAGTTTATGCCCAAGAGAGAAGCCCAGGGCTTCTGGTGTAGTGGAGGAATGGAGACACAGCTACAGCAGATGCGATGGAAAGGAGAGGAGAAAAGAAAGGCCAGGCCTGGGGACAGTCACAAAGCATCCAGGCTCCAAGGACACAGCCTAGAATGAATCAGGGATCTGCCTGACAGCACCACACCCAAAGGAACCAGGATCAGGCCACAGAGGGAGCCACAGACTGGGACAGGAGAGAGCCTAGAAGATGGAGAAGACCCCAGGTACAATGCCAGGAAAAGAGTATCAACGGAGAAATCGGTGACAGCATGAGAGACAGAATCAGAGGAAGTTCAGAAATAAAAGAAGCCACAGGTGGCGGGGGGGGGGGGGATGAGAAGTCTAGGGTGTTCTACTGGTTCCACCTCTGAGCCTCCCCCCCACCCCCATAGTGGGCCTGGAGAGCATTCCTAGTTGTGGAGGGGGTTCTGTCAGCAAGCTGAAGTGATCACCATGACGATGAGCTTCTGTCACCTTCAGTGTCCTGTGTTTCGATAGAGAAACCTCACCAGGGTCACTCAGACACACAGGGAGAGCTGAGATAGAGTCCCTGAGTACTGAGGACTTGGAGCTATGTCAGGAAAGGACACAGCACCCAGTGCTCTGCTGTTTAGGCCAACAGGGTCCTAGAGACCATGCTCACTCTTTATCATTGCCGGGGTTGGTGGGGCCCTCTTTTCCCACAGCAAATCCCTTTCTTCTTGCTCCCAGCTCATGTGCACATCAATGTGGGTGTGTACATGTATTTCTGCATGTGTGTGAGCACATGTATATGCATACGTGTAGTATATGCAAGTCAATGTTAGGTCTCAGCCTCAACTGCTATCCACTTTATCTTTTGAGACAGGGTCTCTCACTGGGCTTGCAACTCACTCATTCAGCTAGTCTGGCTGGCTTGTAAGGTCCAGGGACCCTCCTCCCGCTCCAGCTGGGGTTATAGGTGTACACTGCAGCACCCAACTTGTTTTATGTGCTAGGGATCAGAATCCAGGTCCTGACAAGTATTTTGACTACTAAGCCCCACCCATCACTCTCTCTCTCTCTCTCTCTCTCTCTCTCTCTCTCTCTCTCTCTCTCAGGAACTTTTCTCTTTTTTCCATCTCTATGCTAATTTAGCAGAGAATAAACAAGTCTCTGAGGTCCAGGGGTAAGGACGACATGGACCAGGACTTCTCCCATCCCTGCCTTGGCCCCTCACGACTGTGCCACCCTTTATCTGGATCATGGTTGGCCTCAGCTTCCAGAATGTGATCTTCAATGTGACTTTTCTCTGCTGTATCTTAGCACCTCACATCACGGTAGGTAACCACTGGCTGTGACGTGAAGGGAGTAGTGGTGGTCAGGGTCCCCTCCTGAGGACTGTGCCAGGACTTGCCTGCAGTCAAAGCTGACTACCCCCAGAACTAAGAATCCAGACACTGAACATAGGACCCATCCTATTTCTTCCTGCTTTGAGGCCTTGGGAAAGCAAGGCCTGTTTGTGAGTTTGTTTTGAGATCAAACTGTGATCTGGGTAGAGCAATCACACGGGCATCAGAAGCAGGCCTTATTGACTCAACCCTCCTCTCTGAGGGAGGCTCACTGCTCGGAGGATGCAGGGCCCTAGACAGGGTTTGCCCCTGATTTGGGGAGCATGCCTTTTTTTCAGCCTTGCCCTGAGTTGTTCCTCTTTTTGGCCCTGAGAGGGAGTGAGGGTAGGGCGAGCTGGCATGGACAAAAGGGTCAGTTCTGTAAGGATCAGAATAGCAGTGACAGGAACCACTCCTTGGGACCCTCACTGTCTTGTCTACTCCTGAGGGTGGCACCATCTGTTCCTGTCTGTGTCCCCAACAGGTCTATTAATCCTGTAGACAGGAACACTCAGGTGCTCGGATAGTTCTGTCACCAAGCTATGATGGATGGCTTCATTGTGTGACTTCAGTATCAGCCTCCTGATTGAACCCTTTCCTAACCCTGTGTCATCACAGATAGGGTGACCTGAGCCAACCCCACAGTAAGCTAGAGAGACACCTAAGGAGAGGGCACAAGTTCCTTGTATGCCCTCTCTGGCCTCCTGGTGATACTTGAAGTGGCCTAGACACTGTGACCCTTGACCATCCCCTTGGAAAGCCTGAGAGACAGAATCAGACAGAGACAGTCCAGAAACAGAAGAAGCCACAGGTGTGGGGGAAGAGATGGGGAGCCCAGGGTGTTCTACTGGTTGCATCTCTGACCCCTACCCCTGGCAGGACTGGAGAGCCTTCCTTAACTGTCCAGTGAACCAAAGTCCTCTGCCATGGCGCACGTGTGGGCCTAAGGGCACCACTCGCCATGCCTCTCTTATCCCCTCTGTTTTCAGAATGCCCCATTTTGCTGTTGGATGCCTTCTGTGATGTAGGCTCACCTCCTGATTAGTCTTGGCAAACCACACACCCTCTCTGAGTTTCAGTGTTCCAGAAACCCCATTCTATGTGGCCAGGGCCTAGAAATACCTGGAAGGAATTGAGAAGCACAACAGCGTAGGCCCAGGTTGGGCTAATGTGTACCAGGAGACCAAACAGCCAGGTCAGGCCCAGGACAGGTAACAGGGCTAGCACCGGTTTCACCATGGACCTGTGGGGAAAGGGGTCAGTGTGATTCCCTAGTGTCTGATGGATGATGCTACACCCAGGAAATACATGGAGAGGGGGGCCTGCACCTGCAGATTGGGAGAAGGCTCTGCAAAACCTTTGGGTGGGCCTTGCTTCCTTCTTAGTAGGGGTGGTGGTACTAGGAGATAAGATTTCATTCATTCCCAAGTCTAGTTTGCAAAAAATGAGGCAGCTGCCCAGAACTGGGCAGGGAATGAGAGCATTAGTCAGGAAGGCTCTGCAGCCCTCTGCATCAGCCTGGCCTCACTATCTTCTCAGGCACTTGCTGGTTTGAATGATTCTGCTGCAGCAGGGACTGGTCAAGTGAGGAAGGCCACAGAGGAGGCTGGGCTATAGGAATAAGGTCATCCCATTGTGCTCCAGTGGTCATGGTGCTGGGGAGTGGGAAGGATCCTTGGTAGAGCTAGAGGCCTGAATCCTTGCTCTGATCCTGAACTGGGGATGACCTGACTTGAGGACTCCTCCTGTCTTGTCTCAGGCAGACTCTCAGCACCTTCTGCAGACAGTGAGGACAGTGGCTGGTATCCACAGTGTCTCAAACAGTATGACATGCCCAAGCATGAGTGCCATGTACGTAAAGCCACACATGTACTCACTGTATAACACAGGCTCACACTTGACCACACATCCCAACACAGACTTACATGCTCACACTAAACCAGGCTTATGTAAGGTGCCAGCTGGCCCTGTACCCCAATCTCGTCTTGCCCGCTAGCTGAGCCTCACCACATCTGGAACCTGATCTTCTGCTGTAGGCCAGGCTGTGGGCTCAGCATGCGTGCACGGCGGTGGGTGCTGGAAACAGTGACCATGACCACACGGACCAGGATGTAGGTATTGGCCTGGAGGTTGGGTATCAGTGGGCAAGAGGAATCCCCTCTTCCCAACATGTCCTTCCCTTGTGGCACCCACACCTCCCAGCTCACAGTCAGCACAAACAGGACGGGCCCCACAAAGGCCCAGATGGCATCTGTGTGAACATTGAGCCAGCAGTGTCCAGAAGCCACGTAGTCCTGAGGGTGCAATGCTAGAGTGATGACCACGATGGCCGCAGGAATGCCTAGGGAAGGAGGAAATAAACTCAGGCCGTGCCACCACTCGTTGCTGTCAGGATCCAGCCCACAACTGTCCCCTGGGCCAATCTAAAGATGGGAGCTAAGGCTGCAGAGTGGGGGGGAACTTAGGAGAAACAGACTGGGTACAGCTAGAGTCTAATGTAAGTGGGAAAACTGAGCTCACATCAGAGACAAGCATCAGATGGTACTGGGTGAAACGGGTATAGGGTAGTATTGAGTGCTGGGTGTTCAGTGGTACTGGGTATTGCGTATTAGGTAGTTCCTAGGTGCTGTTGGATGCTGAATGGTATCAATGTACCCAAGGATGGGTCTGAGGTTTTTCTGGTATGGGACAGTATTGGGCAGCAATGGAAAAAAAGTGGGGATCAGGGGTCCTCACCCCAGCCTGCAGCGTAGTACAGCCTCATCCTGGGGCCTGGGTGCATGCTCACGGCTACCACCTTGCTCCAAAGCAGCAGTCCTTCTGCCAGCATCCAGGAGAAGGCAACCAGAAAGAGAAGATGCATGACCACTGTGACAGCCACACAGGTCACCTGGGGGAGGATGGAGGTCGCTATGGAGGTCAGCTCTGGGCACAACTTACCCTGATCCCATGGTCATGCTTGGCATTCTCATCCAAAGATGAGTCAGGAGGAAGGACTCTGTCATTTGTACCATATGGGTCTTCCTTCTCTGGGATCCACCAGTGCAAGGAAGCCACCAGCACGTGACAGAGGAGGAGACCTCAAAAGGCTCCTCATGCTTTCCTGGTCCCAGAGCTTACAAGTCACTTGCTGGTTGCCTACCTTGTTGGTCTTCGCCCACTCACTGGTCATGAGGAAGCCCTCAGCAGAGGCCAGGGAAAGAATAAGATTCTTGTGGATTGTGGTCCGCTCAGAAGTGGGAACCCTGTGTAGGCAGAAGGGTTGGTTCACGGGGACAGCCCCACCAACCTCTCCCACTTTCAGCCAGGCCTTGGGGTTGGGGGATTCCTGATGACTGGGCTCATGTAGGCAGCAAGGGGCCAGGTCACCAGGGAAGCCCCAGACCAAAGTCTTATGGGGATGGCTGTGGAGTCTAAGAGGAGACAAGCCCTGGTGTGAGACACTTCCTCACCCAGCCACCACGAACAGCAAGAAGGTGGTAGTAAGTGCACAGAGGGACACGCCACAGCCCACAAATGACAGAGTCCTCAGCAGCGACTCCTCTTCAGGACCTTCCTGCAAGGAAGGACAGTGAGGAGCCCATCCTCAGCCTGATCTGCACAAGACTCACCTGCTGACTTCAAGTCTCCCTAGGGAATCAAGGATGACAGTAGTACTGACCACCAGGGACTAGGCCTGCACACAGTAGGTACTTAATAAATGAATGCATCTCTCTCTCGCTGGATCTCCCTAAAAGCTACCCCTCTTGCCAAGCCTCTACTGACTCAGCATTGACCTGAATTCTGACCTGAACTGGACGTGACTGGCAAACCCAGGGAGACTGTCCTGTGAGGATGGTCCTGTGAACAGGATCACGGACTGCTATTAAAGGTGAAGCTGCTGATGGGTTATAATGTGACATTTACAGGAAATAAGCATGTAAGCTTTCCTGGGGCCTCTTCCAGACCCAGAGTCTTCTTAAGGCACCGGCTCTGTCTAACCTGACCTTTTCACAAATGACCCCTGGGTTCCTTTCTGCCTCCATGGAGTCCTTCTCTTAGTCTACTCTGGAGTCGGTTTCCCTCTTGATTGAGTCTCCTCTTCCCCTCAAACTCACCTGGGTTCATCATTTATATACAGGTTCTTCATGACCCAGAACACCCCCTGAACCCCAGTCCTAGACCCAATAGCTCCACACAGCCCTACCTGACACCCTATCATTTCGCCACCTGGGTTCTCTCCAAGCCCATGTCCAGCTGGGCCTTGGTCCCTGACTCACCCTCCAAGTGTGCAGTGCAAGGCCTCAGGAAGAATTGGCCTCATGTATAACCTCTCCCTGCACATGTGGTCACCCTGTTTCTCCCTGCTCACCTGGACTTCAGACACCTGCAGCAGGATGCCAAAGCTGGTGCTGTGGTTGCAGAGGCAGATGGTAGAGTCCGGGTGTAGAGCGAGCACTAAGCAGCCGGCGGTGGCCCAGGAGCCCCCTGCATCTGAGCTTGGGGTTAGGATGGAGCAAAAGGGCTCTTGAGATGTGGTGGACACCGGGGAAGACAGGGCAGACAGAGGTCTCTCTACCTGAAGCCTGAAGCTAAGGGCTGCTTTGCCTCCAGCCAGTGATATGTCCTTGGCCAGTAACTAACCCTCTGGGCCCCAGTTTCCCATCCAACAAATATGCTTAATTTTCTCAGGGACAGTAGGACCAGAGGAGGTCAGAAGAAGTGAGTGATGGCCTCTGTTTCTTGCCTGTACTGGCTGCTAAACATTTGTGGGCGATGTCATTCCTTCTGCTGAAGACCCAGAAGGAGACTGACAATGCTCAGGGCCACAGCCTCCTAGGAATCCCTCCAGCAGCCACTGGATAGTTGAGTCTCCTTCAGGGCACCTCCTAGAGTCAATGCTACCTCCTTCATAAGCATCCTGGGATGAAGCTCAATACCAAGTGGGTAATACACCCACCCTCCTTGCCCTAGCTTCTCCTGGAGCTGACTGGGGTCTGGAGTTACCCTGAAAAGCAGTTTTTGGGAGACACCAAACACCTCCAAGTCCTAGTCCCTTTGCCAGCAGGGGACATACTTTTTTAGATTGTCTGATTTAGAGTTTGGTGAGACAGTTTAACAGGCAAAGGCCCTTGCTGCCAGGCAAACCTGACAGTCTCACATGATAGAAAGAAGCGACTCTTGCAAGTTGTTCCCTACTTCCATACACATGCGAAGACACAAATAAGTCAATGTGGAAACTTACTTGGTACTGAAGTTCCAAAAAGCACAGACAGGCTCTAAAATCTTCTGTGGAAAGACCTAGGGGTAGGGCAGGTATATGAGTGTGTGTGTGTGTGTGTGTGTGTGTGTGTGATTTTTCTACAAAGGTACCACAAACATGAATTGTACAAAAGAGAGTCTTTTCCACAGGTAGTGATGAGAAAGCTGGATATCCACTTGTAGAAAAATGAAACTAGGTTTCCAAATTTCACCTTGTATAAAACCCAATTCTGGGACTGGTGCAATGGCTCATCAGGTGAAGGCACTTGCTACTGATGGCCTGAGTTCAGTCTCTGAGACATACATTGTAGAAGGAGAGAACTAATCCTGCAAGTTGTTCTCTGACCTACACACACACACACACACACACACACACACACACTACGGCTCATGTGCATGTAGGTACACGCATGTACATAATATAAATATACATAAATAAATGTAAAGTATAAACCTTAATATAACACATGAAACTTTGAATTGGGGCTGGACACAGTGGTACATGCCTTCAATCCCAGCACTCTGGAGGCAGAGGCAGGTGGAGCTCTGTAAATTTGGTGCCTGCCTTTGTTTACATAGCAAGTGCTAGGTCAGCCAGGGCTATACAGTGAGACCTCGTCTCAAAATCAAATCAAATAAAATAAGAATTAACAAATGGGATTGTGTGGAATTAAAAAACTTCTGCACAAAAAGAGGAGAAGTGGGTCAAGGGAAGAGACAGGTTTCTGAATGGGAAAATCTTTGTTAACTATACACATGACCAGACATTAATACTTAGAACCTACAAAGAACTGTAAACATTAAACATCAACCTCCCCACAACAAACAATTCGATCTATAAATGGACTAATGAACAGATCTCAAAGAGGACTGCAAATGGCTGATAAATATATGATAAAATGTTCAACATCCCTAGTCACCAGGGAACTGTGAATCAAAACAGCTTTGAAATTCCCCTCACCCTTTGCATCATCAAGAAAACAAACAATGGGGCCTGGAGAGATGGCTCCATGGTTAAGAGCATGCATTGCTCTGGCAGAGGTTGGAAGTTGGGTTCCCAGCACTCTTGTTGGGCAACTCACGGCTGCCTGTAACTCCAGGGATTCTGCCTCCATGGATCCAACAAACCACAGATCAAAAATATTTTTTAAAACAGAAAGAAAATATTAAAACAAAAAAAAATTGCCTCAGTCCTAACCTAAACATGTAGAGACTTTGTCTGGTCACGATTCCCTACACCTTAGTACATAGTTGATCTCATCACTGACATTGTTTTGGATACCATGAGTGAGCTAAAGGGCACTGGGAGCATCTAGAAAGGTGTATATAGAGCACTGTAACTTCCGAGCCTTTCTGAATAAGGGATTTGCACATCTATCTCTGGGTTCAGGTGTCTGGGGATGTCAAGGTGTCAAGGTTGAGGATGAGGAGCGATGAGGGTACACGGCAACCGAACTGACTGGGACTTTCAGGAGGATATGCAGACAAACTGATACAGAAGCCACACTGGGTGCACATGTGCATCCACAATGACCTCTGTGAGCAACAGGCCCCCTAAGCTTTCTCTGAAATGCCCCAAGGGTTGACAAAAAACAACCCAGGACTTTAGACACTGCATACCATGAAACCAAACCCCACGGAATGAAAGCATTTGCATGCCAGTTTATAGAGAAACCCCTTCGTCTTCATACAGCCACGGTGACCAGTCCATCACTCCAGTGTGTAGCTCTCAGGGGCTTTTTGAGTATCGTCCTACCTCTGTCATTGAGGTTGCATGTTTTATTTTTAAATCCTGGGAACAGAACCCAGGGCCTCATGACTAGGCAAATGCTCTGGCCCTGAGACACACCTCTAGCCTGGGCTAGCTTTCATTCCCCTGAAGCCCAACTTGGAGAAGACTCCCTGAATATCAACCTGTGAACATACTCCTACAGTGGGTCAGTGTGATTATATGTGCACATGTGTGTATGAGTATGTATCATATATTCATTTATTTTAGTTATACAGCCCTAGGACAACATCCTTGATTTATCTACTTAAAATGGGGCCAATCACATAGTCTTTCTGAGCAGGGGAACAGGCGTTAGAGGGCTCAGGGAAATTTGCCTAAATTATTTATGGAGCTATTGTAAAAAGTGCACATTACCCCCACTTCTGGTCCCTTGAGAATGGAGGAGATCATTGGAGATGAATATGACTGGGTGTGTGTGTGTGTCTGTGTGTGTGTGTCTCTGTGTGTGTCTGGCCTATGTGTATGTCTGTGCATCACATATGTGTAGCACCCTCAGAGGTCAGAAGAGGACATTGTATCCCTGGGACTGGAGTTCCAAACAGCTGTGAACTGCCATGTAGATGCTGGGGATGGAATCCAGGTCTTCAGAAAGAGCAGTTTTTAACTACAGAGCCATCACTCCAGCCCGAATATGCTCTTTTGAACATGTCTAGATCTTGGCTTTCCAGTGAGCAAATATTGGCAAGCATGGGGCAGGGGAGCAGAGAAAGGGGCTAGCCAGACAAGTGCTGCACCATCTGGTACCTGGGCCTGGTGCTGCAGGTGAAAGGTCACAGCTGTGTTCACCTCCCCAGCAGTGTCCCATACCTCAGAGGAGAGTATAGCTGACCCCACTCGGGTGCTTAGGGACCTGTGAGAACAAATGGAGCTTTTAAGGGTGGTTGTGGATGTGAGGAATGAAAGGAGGGGACATGTGTGCCCTGAGTCATTTCAGCCAAGGGGAGAACACTAGACCATGACTTGGGACCCTGAGGTCCAGCCTCAGGGACTCATTGGAAAGCCCTGTCTCCTCTCAGAGTCTCCCCTCTAAAGCCAGACTCCAGACAAGAAGGGGACAGGGCTCCACCAGGTTCCTTTCTGAAGACCCAGCACACTGATAAACATTGACCTGCCCACCATGATGGGGGTCTGGGAAGAGATGGAGGACTGGCTTCCTGGGTGTGAGGGAGACATAGGTCTTCTGCAATCTACTGGGAGGGGTTTGCTCACCTCTGCGTTCTTGCCTCCTCTGAGCCATTAGCAGACTGAAGCTCTAGGTTAGGCACCCCCAGGGTATGCTGGAAGATTCCTGAGGTGAACCAGGTGTGGATGACCATGACTTCAGCAAGGTCTGGGAGGGTGGGAGACACTAGCTGTCTCTGAACGAATCGCTCATTCCATTTCACAGGGGAACTGAGGATCAGAAGCCTTTTCTAAGCTCACGTAACAGAAAAGTGACTAATGCAGAACGCCAGCCAGCCACGGTTCACACATCTCAACCTGGAGTTCCAAATCCCTCTGTCTATACACTGATTCCCAAGCCCTGAGTGGTCAGGGCTGGGACCTTTTTCAGCTAGCCACTTCTGAGGAAATCACGTGGACTCATTGGATGCCAGAATGTGAAGAGAGCTTCTACTGTGACGGCCATCTACCAGTCAATAGCTAATAGCCCGTCTTACACATAAGGAAGCTGAGGCTCTGCACGAAAAGGCAGCCCCAGTCTAAGGAACACAGCAGATCTCTCACCTGGAACACAGCAGGGTTCCAGCCGACTCTCCTTACTCACCTTTCCCAAGGAGCCGCCTCACTTCACCTGCGGGGATGTGGATGTGGCCTGGTCCATCTGGATGCCCACCCGGAATGGCGAGTGTATGCCCTCCAGTGCTGGCCTCCCTCAGGTGCAGGCTTTGCACCTCCAGGCCTGGGATCAGATGGAGCAGGGGCTGCATCTCAGAAGGGGGGGCTTTCTTCTGGGGTGTCCAAGTTGCACAGCTGACTTGTCCTCTTTCCACTATAGGACTAGGGGTCCACCATTCAAGCCCAGAGAGGTTGAGCCACTGCTCAAGGTAAAATGGTGATCTGGATTCCTGAGGGAAGGGTATTACCATGGGGGTGAGAGGAACCTGTGGCTAAAGATCACTGTGAGGGTCCCCAAATGGGTCTCCAAGCACTTGATGAATATGACCTTGGGTCTAGCTCTGGGCAGAGACTGTTCAGATAGCCCTGGCACCCCAGGGGCACCAGGAAGAGGAGGGGCAGTCCTATTATGCAAGGACATGTTCAAGATGTTAGAGTAACTGAGGAAGGTAGACTAACCCATCAAGAGAGAACTCGTGTGTGTGTGTGTGTGTGTGTGTGTGTGTGTTTGTGTGTGTTTGTGCGCGCGCGTGCATGTGTTAGGGGAGTTGGTACTCAAGCAGGGCTCCGAGGGGAGGAATTTGCTAGGAGATCAGGGGAGAAAGGGCACTGTGGGCAGAAGGCACAGCTTGAGTAAAGGAAGGAAATATGAAGTGCATGGAAGTACAGACAGCGATCTCTCAGGGACCACACTGAGGAAGGATGGCTGGGATTCGCTGTGGAAGTGGAGGGTTGTTCACCAGCAAGATGATGCTTGATGTGGATTCGAGTCTGCGCAGAGGTCAGCACGGAGCTCAGCAGGGACGCCAGGCGCTGCACACTCATCACCACGGCCATAGGCCCACCAACCACCTGGGAGGAAACTGTAGCTCTGCTCCCGCTCCCACTCCAGGCCCAAGCGCTATGGGCCCTGACCTGGGGGCCATAGATGCTTGGGGTTCTGGCTCCAAACCCATAATGGCCTCAAGATCAGGGCCTGAGTTCCCTGTCTGCCTCAGCCTCCTCTGACGTCTCCAACTCTGTCTATCAAGTCAAGCTGCAGGTCTCCTGGTATGCTATGTGGGCTACTGGTCTGTTGTTTGCCAACTGGAGTTTACTCTGGCTGGGCCTCCTCTCTCTTCACACTGACTCAGAGCCAAACTCATAATATCCATGCTCAGGTTTCATATTTAAAAAACAAACAAAACAAAACCGAAATTCACTGTGTGGTTACCCACTTTCTGTTGTGAACATCGTCCTGTTCACTTCGCCATTGCCTCAGTAAGGCGAGTGTGAGGATTCTCGTTCTCTAGGTAAGAAAACTGAGGTCCACAGCCCGGCATTCCCTCGTCTCCTACAGTGCCCCAGATCTGTAGTTACAGGTGGGTTTCACACATGGGGGAGGGGTGCCCTACCTGTCCAGGTGAGCATCGTCCCGCCAGCCTCATGGGCTGTCCCGTTCCTATTCACTCTTACACCCTGCCTATTCCTAATCCTGTCCACTAGTACTTTGCAAGGATGAATTTTCTAATAACCTCTCCCTCCAGAGCAACTTCCTATTCTCCAGAGCACCCGCCTGTGTATTTAGGCAGATATGATGGGTGGACCACTCCACATAGAGGATGCCCCACTTGAGTCAGTTGGCAGATCCTTGGATATGGGGAGGGCCCTTATCCCCAGTGGCTCTTAATACCAATCTTAACTATGTGCTGTGTTCAAGTGGACTTTCCACTCATAGTGACAAAAGGAGCCTCTCCGATGGCATGGAGAGATGCAGCCCTCAGAAATAGGTGCAGACTCACCCACAGTTTCAGAATAAAGGGGCTGCAAGGCCATATCCCATCCATCCCTGCCTGCCTCACCTCACTGATACACAGCCATGCACTGGCTGATTGCTCCTCCAGGGTCAGGCCGGCCACAGACACAAAGCCTCTGCCAAGCTCCCCCCAGGGCTGGGTCGGCAGCGCTGACTCCTCAGGTCTGAGAGCAGTCACCCTCTTCAGGAAGTGCAGGATGGCCAGCAGGGCAACAGGCCCCAGCGGACCTGGTTTCTCTGCTAGGATTCTCTCCAGGAGACCCATGAAGCTAGAAGCCTTGTCTAAGGACAGGATCCTGGGGGCTTCAGACAGGGGACTTGGGAGAAGCTGTGGGTAGAGGAACAACTGACAGGAGGGGAACTCTCCAGATACCACAGTTAGGCACTACCGGGGTCTTCTTAGTGGATCAAATTTGTCACAAGCCCCCAGCTGTCAGGGGTTCTAAAACAAGAGCAGGAACCATTTGGATTCCTGTAGATACTTTAGATGAGTGTCTCTTTACAGGTAACGAAAATAAGGTACAGGGAATTGGCACACAGTGTCACAGACTTTCCAGTGTCCAGGGATGGGCTCACCACAGTGTCATTAGCCAAAGCATTGACTCTGCTGATAATGTCCTGATCCGGCCATGACTGGAAGTTCTGAAGCTGCTGGTAGCTCTCTGCAAAAGGCAGAGGCCAGGTTGGACCCTGGCAAAGGAGAGGCCAGCCTGCTCCATGACCACCCTCAAAGTACTGTTCTGGGGAAGGAAAAGCATATCTATACAGTGTCTGAAATATTAAACAATATGGTAGATGGTGAAACTGAGGCACAACATGGCAGAATCATTTTTTCAAAGTCATACAGCTGAGATTTGCCCTCAGGCCTGTCCGGACAGATTACCCTGTTGTCTAGATCTGTGGAATCCTCAAACCTGGAGATTATAAATGCCCTAATTTCTCTATTCAGCAGAGCTCTGGCACAGCCAGAGCATACCTTTTGAGTAGCAGCAGAGAAAGGGCTGTGGGTGCAAGCAGAGTTCAGAGCCCCTGGTGCCAGGTCCTGGATTCCATGTGGGACACTCCTCTGAAGGCACTGGCCAGAGTAGCAAAGTATCAAGACCATACTTAGCTATTTATCCATGCAGGGCCAAAAGGCGCTTGCACATGATTGAGAACCGGCATGCAATATTACCACACAGAGGGACATGTCGAGATCAGGGAGATGAGGTCCCGAGCACTGAGCAAGGCTACACTAAGTAAGCTTCTGGGCAGAAACTGTTAGCCTGAAGAGGGAATGGCCAGAATTGGCCCGGATCAAATGGGCAAAGGCTGAGCTGGAAACAGGTGTTTGCAGGGTCGGGACCAGATTCCATGGGCCAGGGGAAGGACATAGCATCTGGGAAGTCAGGGCCGATGTCCTACCAGGACAGAGCAGGTGCACAAGCACGGTGGGCAACAGCGAGGGTGTGACGTCCAGGGCCTCTGGGTCCCACTGAAAGAGCAAACCCCAGAGGGGTGGCGCGCAGGCACGAGCTCGGCGCACTTGCTCGAGGCTCAGTACGCGGTTCCACAGGTGGAAGTCCGTGAGGTTGCCACTGAAGGCGTCGCGGACCGAGAACCCGCCACCCAGGGAGTCCTGATCCTGACCCAACACAAGCACACCGTCAGGCGGCACCGGGTGGCCCGCGCTGAGTCCCTGAGCCCCAGCGCGTCGCCTCCCATCGCTGAACAGCGCCCAGCGCCCGCTGCGCTGCTCCCACATGGCACACACGTGGTGCCAGCGGCCGTCAGAGCGGAAGACAGCCTTGAAGGGTGCATGGTGGCCTCGCACCACTAGCGCTGCGCGCACGGAGCCTCCGGGTTCCGCGAAGGCACGCAGCTGCAGAGCGTTGGCGACCGCGGGCGTGGCCAGGGAGAAGAGAGTGGCCGCTTCGGTTGCTGCCTCGTCCCACTGAACGTGTGCGCAAGCCGTGAGCGCCGCCAGCGCGGGCAGGACCTTGAGCAACCGTGCGGCCTGGTCAGCAGCCCTCTCATGGAAGACCAACACAGTCGCAGTGTGCTCACCTGTGGGGACACGCGGCAGAGCCTCAGTTTCCCTAGCTGCCACAGGGCCTGCCTCTCACTGACACAGCTGTAGAGCTGGGATTTGGGGGTTCCTCTAGTCTGGAGAAGAAAGAAGTGGGGGTTCCAGGCCCCTGCCCAGGGTTAATCCCCACTTCCAGAATAGGCATGCATTAACTCCAGCTCAACCGAAACTGTTGTCCCAGTGAGACCTCATCTCTGGAGGTTCAGACACTACCCTCCACCTCCCCCTTGCTTGCACCAGATTCTGAGCCCATACTCACGCCTCTTTGGCTGACTTCGTAGCGAGGCCTCTCTTTGTCCTACCCAGACAGAGCTAGGCAGATGTGAATCGAGAGTCCTATCTGGGGGCCCCAGTGGCAGGTGGCCAAACCTCTGGTCACAGGACTCCTGGGCTTGCCACCAGCTTAGCCGCTGTCCTGTGAATTCGCACAACCCTTCTGTAGTCTGCAGCATCTTACCTGGGGCAGCTGGGACTGGAGATCATAGGAGAGTAAGCACAGGAGAGAATTTTATGGGCATCTCACCCTTTTGGACAAGGATCAAGGACATGGAATTCTGAGTCTGTTTGGCCAGGCTGGGACTGTCTACTCAGTGACTTGCCCCCTGGAGTCTTTCTATACAACAGGAATTCGATGGAGCCTCCCACGGGGTTTGAAAGAAACACCACCTCCTTCCCTTTTTTGCATAATTCAGACCAATATGCCAACCATGTGACACAGCTGGGCTGTGTCTATAGAGGCCCTTCCTGAAAGGACCCTTCATACCAGCCTGCAGCCAAAGGGTTCCCTGTTTTGCTTGAGGAGTTAGAGAAGGTCCCAGGGAGACTTCTGATCTGAGAGAGAATATGGATGTGACTTTGGATAGGCACGCCTCCCTGGTGTTGAATGTCTACTGTGTGCTCTGAGGGGGACGAGAAAGCTGCGGGCTCTGCAGCCTACGTGATTGCTATTGGTCGAATACCCCTCGATGAGCGAGTGTCAGGAGCATAGATAGCACCCAGTAGTTGCTTTTGTTCTGTGTATACGCAAGGGTTTAACTTTACCATCCTTTGAAGTGTGGTAGCCACTTGGCAAGAGAAAACTGTGGGCTCCCTTGACCTCCCTCCCTTGACCTCTTCCCTGCAGAAATCCAGGTACCAGCAGATAGAGGAGGCAGTGAATCAGAGGAATCATTCTGGGTGCAGCCAT